TGACGAGTAAGTCTTGTGACTGGAGTTTGAGGAAAGACAGACGGATTGCAAACATTCCATTCAGGCATGCCACTTAGTGGAGAGCCTGTATCTGCCTCTGTGTACCTCACTGTGGCAGTCTCTTCTGCCAAAACGAATTCGATTCTTGGGATGGTTCCACCTGCATGCAGACCGCATGCGCCGCGGGGGCGGCCCCCAGTCCCCAACAAAATGCTGACCTTCAAGCAGCTTCTTTCCCGTGCCCAGAGCGCGAAAAGGCCTTCCTTGGCGTCGCCAGGGGAGGTCCTACGCGCCGGCTCTGTCCTCTCTCGTGCCCAGTGCGCGAAAACGCCTCTTGCGGCTTCGCCGAAGAGTGCGGGACGCGCCAGGCCTCTCTCTCAGCGCGACAACGCCGCTCTCGGCTTCGCCGAGCAGCGCGGGACGCGCTTTCCCCGACCAGCTCAGGGCGCGTTGGCGTCGCCAATCGCCCTGCTGCTGGTCATCTGGAGGCGGCTGGCCTCCTACATCGGTGACCTTGTCCAGGGAGGTCACCAAGAAGCCATCCAGCTGCTGCAGGTACGCACGCAGGGAGGGGGAGAAGCAAAGGGGAAGGCAGTGTGGGGTGAGGGGTTCCGACTGCTGTGGTTGTCGCTCAGGGGCTGGGCCTTCCGACGAGAGGCATCAACCTCTTCTACGTGACTGGATGGTCCGCGCCCCGCTGCCACCACCGCCGACAAGACGGCAGCTGGGGAGCGCTGCCCGGAACTCCATGCTCCTTCCTGGTCCCTGGCCTGGCCTTCATCCACGTCGACCAGGAGGTGGCCAGATTGCACATTAGCAACCACATACCCAGATGGATGATCGCTGTTTGTTGCGTTTGTTGGCTATGTGCAGGAGCTGGAGTTCGTGATGAACGATGGCGGCAGCAGCTGGGACAGCCCGCCACAGTCCACAAACGGTATGCAATGCACGACGACATTGCACGTACAAGACAGACCTCCTTATCCGACGGTCATTCGCCTTGGGTCGTATGTGTGTGTCTTGTCAGCCGCCAACTACCGCATCGGCCAGCCGGGGGTGTACATTTTGTGCACAGGTACGGTCCGTACCTTGTGCACTTGGCGGGAGGAAGAGGCGGCCATCAAGATTCAGAGGCGGACCCGCCGTAAGTGCACGATGAGGAAATGATAGGTATCCACTGAGCTCTGTGGCTCACTGTGTCTCCTTCTGCCAATAGAATATCTGCGCTCGGAGGAGATGCGGGCCGTGAGGCGGGTGGTGCGGCGGGTGGAGAGGGCTGCCAGGAAGGCCAACCAGAGCCACATCGTTTATGTGAGCGGTTGGCGGCAGCCCTACGTCCACCACTCGGTGGAGGGCGGCGGGTGGACGGCACTTCCCGGGGTGCCCTGCCAGCAGCTGGGGGACTCGGGATCTGAACTGTGGCATGTGTGCATGAAGTTCCATGAGGTATGAACGGAGGCACATAATTGGCTCACGCTTCTTGCCCATCTTGTGTCTTCTGTTGACAATTTCAGGGCCTACAGTTCGTCCCGACGGATGGCACCGGTTCTTGGGATCACCCTTCTGTCACGGACTGCGGTAAGCGGTCATCATGAAGAGGGATGCGGTGAGATGGGCTTGTTGATTTATTCTCTCTCTCCTCCAGGTCCAAATTACTATGTCCCAAGGGCCGGTGTCTTCCTTTTGTGCAATGGACAGCTGCGGCAGTTGAGGTCCATGTCGTCAAGCAGCGGTGTCATCGATATGTTCGTGAAGGAATATCGATGCATCGGTGAGACACAAGTGCAATTTGGTTGACGAGTCGCTGCATTCTTTGATGGATCTTTTGCTCTTCAGCTGCGAGGGCGGCGAGATTTGACTCCAGCCATGCTCCCACATTGCCAGCATCATGGCCTTCACCCCCGCCCCAAAGCCACAGCAAGGACCTCCGCCCCATCACACCCGCCCCGCCAGCCATGCCCAACACCCTGCGGCAGACGTCCACCAACACCAGGAGAGGGCAGCCGACCGCACTGTCGGCTCTGCCACCCCCGCCCTCATCCGCTTCTCTGACTGCTGGCAAGAGATTGCCAGGGACGCCCAGCGGGGGCGGTCTGGTTTCCTTTGGAGGGCCGACAGCAGCAGCTGCGGCTGCCGTGGCCAATCCGGTCACACCCCCACAGCCCTTCTCGCACGAGTTCCCCAAGCAGCCGGGCTCGCGTATGGGTGGTTTCCCTCTCCCTCTTCCCTCGTCCATGTCAATGGCAGCATCCTCTGCTGCAGCCCCGCCACCCCCGGACAGCTCCCCGTCGCTCGGCTTGATGAAGCGTCCCCCACCGCCTCCTGGCCCGCCCCCACAGGAGGCCATGTCATTCATGCCGCCAACGCCCTCTCCCCCATCAGCGCGCCCCAGGCCTGAGTTCAACATCTTGACCAACACGAATCGGCGCGCCAGTGCCAATGCGTCGCCCAGCGCGTCACCACCGAGCGGCCCTCCACTCCCACCACCAGCAGCGGCAGCGGCAGCAGCTGCTGCAGCAGCACCGCCACCAGCGGCAGCCCCACAGCTACCATCCCCACACCCACCACCACCACCAACAGAAGCCGCAGCCGCAGCCGCAGCCGCAGACCCACAGCCACCTCCACCGCCACCACCCACCCCCGCAGCCCCACGCCCGGCAGACCTCGTAAGAGGGGCTATCGAGGCGCTGCGGGGGTGGATTTTGGAGCGCCGGGAGGCCATCGTGCGGCGGCCGCTGTGGGAGGAGGAGGAGGTTGATGAGTTCGAGGAGGAGGTTTGGCAGGACCTGGACCCCATGGCGCAGCTGCTGCGGCGAGCGGAGGAGCTGGACAACCAAAGGCCGCGCCAAGGCACGTCAGCTGGGGTGGGGCCGGTGTTTTTGGAGCAAATCCAGCCCCACCGTAAGCTCTTTTCTAAATGACAACAATCGTGAGTTCCTCCGACTTCATTCCTTGCATGTCTCACTATGTGCAGAGCTCATTTGGGTGGACCGGTTGGCGGTAGGGTACGGGACCTACGGCGTGGTAAACAGAGAAAGAGGAGCTCCTACATGCACTTTGCTGTATGGAATCTAATGCTTGTACCAGGTGGAGGAAGGGCTACTTCGACGGACCACCAGAGTAGCCATAAAGTCGGTGTTGCTTTCGCTGCAAAGGGGTGAGCGGCTCACTCCAGCATCCCTTGAATGCATCGCCCTCGTTGGCTGCCTGTTTGATTGCAGGAAGGGCGCCGTCGGATTGGGATATCATGAATTTCGAGAGGGAAATCCGTGCATTTAGGTCAGCGTCTGCAACAAAACCCCACTGATTGCCTTCCTCATTTCTTACATTGCTGTCGCTTCGTAGTTTTCTTGAGCATAGAAACATTGTGAGGTGTCTCGGGGTCTGTCGGTATGGGGGCAATGCCGAGGCGAGAGAGGCCACACTGAGAGGTCCTCGGCATTGCCTGGTGCTCGAATACATTGATGGAGGTCAGCAAAAGGACATAGATTGCTCTCTCAGTTGTTCGTCCGCGTGTTCATATGTGCTTCTTGCAGACACACTGTCCAATTACCTACGCGAAGAGC